GACCCATGCGAAATAAAATACCAATCTTTGTCCACAAATTTAATTTTCAATACAAACGCTCCAGTTTTTAATTTACTATCCATGGTGATTTTACTGTTTTTTGTTTCATCTGCTCTGAATGCGCGAATAATCCACACGCAAGATAAAATTATCAGTCATAAATCAAAGAAGACCTTAGCTGGTGACAGCTGGATTCAAACATAGTTTGATAAATATTCAACGTTTGAGTATGGCTTTCACCACTACAACCACCAACAACAGCTTCACCACGATTACCATTCTCTCGTTTTTCGTACTAGGTGACCAGTGGAATAACCGCACCGGTCCGTTACGATGGTCCACTTAACGCAAGTCTTTCACAGTTACAGACAAACTTGGTCCCTTTTCCCCGACTACATTATCTGCAAGCATCGATGGCACCAATCATCACCACAGAGAGTTTAATGCATGAGAGTGAGTTGGAATCGTTAGTGATTTCCGCACTTAAGGTTTGCGATATTCCATTGGAAGGCAGCGCTGTAAACTCTGGCATATTTCTTGTTTCCATCAATTGCTGACAGAGTATAGTGAACCAGAGAAGCTAGGGCATCTAGTGTGGAGCGAGAGCGGCCGTGCGCAAATTGGTTTTGGTCCTGTACGTTCAGCTGAGATAACACTCCTTGAAGGAGTAATTTCTCGAAAGCTTCAACACAACAGACGTGCGTGCAATGGGACGGAATTTTGAGGTGCTTCTTTTGGGCACTGGTGTGATGGAGGCAGATTTCCAACAATCAGGTATAATTCCGTTTTTCCTGTCATTGGTAAAACAGAGCTGTTATCACTGATGAAGGTGTGCGGGCGCACTCCTTAAGGATGGCAACCTCCAATCTATCGGAGCCGGGTGATTTATTGGGTTTTAATATCCGTAACTCTTTCAGAACATCCTGTTGTTGAATGGTAAAAGGTTATTTTTTGCTGAGGTCTATGTTTGCGCTGAGGATGACCGTCCCCGTCCCATTGTTGTTGGTTCTTTTGTTGATTGTTCTAATTAGCTCCTCAACGTCTGTTGTTGTTCGAGACACAAGTAAGGATTGACCACTCGAATGCTTGATGGTGCTCCAGGTCTCCCGGCAGGTTTTGCTATGCAGCGGTGTGCGAGTATAAATGTCGTTCAGTCGATAATGCTCGCCTTTGATAACCGGAGACAAAAGTTTCACTCTTTGAAAATCTTTGCGTTTGTATACCCCTTTCCTTGCCTTGACGCAACTGCTTCAAATGAGGTCTCACCGCAGGTATAGCGTCTCCCAGGGGCAACATATATCGTAGCAGAAGTATAGGCACTGTGTAAGATGATCACAGTAGATGAAAGGATTAGTGTGGTAGAGTATACTGAGATACCATCACACTGAGCTTTTCTAGGCTCCCTGGGTTACATTGACGTTTTCTTCTTTTTATGACACAGCGTTTTGTGAAAAATATGTAGTGGACCTTGCTGTACACTTTTGGGGGAAACTTTAACAAAGGCATGGTTCGAAGACCCAAGAGGGGAGTGGACAGATACTGGAAAAATGCTGATATTATTTACAAAACACCAGTCTAAATGAGCGCTTAGTTTGGTGGGAAGCACACTATGTTTGTCAAACCCTAGAACAGACAGGAAGCTGATGGCGGCACGGTTGAAATTACCACAGATGATACATTGTAAGAAATCAAGATAACTCATTAAAGCTATGAAAATAATATCTGAAAAATTAAGACGTTCCTCTGAGGGACATGAAGGAGAAGTATAAAAGCTAGCCAAAGTAATCGGCCGATGGTCACTGAGGTGCTCAGGCTTGCATTCATGTACGGAAGCCCATATGTGACAAGTGGAAGGAGCAAATGTTTTGCTTCATATTATTGCACCAATCGTTATTGATATAAGTCACTAGTCCTCCTCCACGCTTCTGATATGTTACCGGACGGTCGAGTCGGTATTCAGTGAAGCCTTCGATTTTAGTAATCTCCTCATTAATTTCACAACGTAATCCCGTCTCTTGTAATAGAATTGCGCCCAAGTTAGATTATTCCATACAACGCACAAGATCAGATATATCTGGTGATTCTCCAAGCAACGAACGGACGTCGTTTCTGCAAATGCTTTTGTATTCAGTTCTCACTGATCTTCCAAATTTAAGTAGCTCCGGAGATAAACTAGAATAGGAATGTTTGTATTGTTTGACGAAGTACTGGGCGTTGACAAAACCGAGACACTTGGATGTATGACATCTCGGTCGTTGTTGTGCATCTGGGTTGTTATAACCTGTTAACTGAGCAAATGCTGTTGGTCCTACCAATTGAGTACCTGGTTGAATAAGACTAATTATCCTTGACCGTATGGCTGAGCACACCTATTTGACGATGAATGATTTCCTCCGTTTTGTACTTAGTTACTGGAAAATGTCTGCATCATTGGTGCCACGAAACTTGGTAATTACATAAGCTCTCTTTCGTACAGTTCATTTCGGTGCGTTCAACCATTAACCATGTCCTTTCGTGTGCCGATTTTGATTGCTGTCTCTTGGCTGTCCAATTTGATTAACAGTAGGAGAAAGACAGGAAAGATGAAAGTAGAATCGAGGAGAAAAAGGAGAATAGACGTGATCTGAGGTTGCAAAGAAATTGAGACGATGCACGAGCGCCTCTGTTTAGGACACTCAGCCGCATCACTCGGTTTCCCTAACCATCGGTCACGATCATCCCGAGGTCCACAGCCGGGAAGCCTAACAGGTTGTAAAAACTGAAACTGACCCTGACTCCTGGTGTGGGTTTTCATACCTCATGCCAGGTCTTAGTTTGATCACCCTTGGCTTTATTCCACCCATTACCTGTCTCGAATAAATTTCACTCGCCGTGGTAACCTATTTGATGACATGCGTAACGCATGCTCCAACAAATGTAATCTACGGAGTTGGACCACTTGTTCCAGTGGGCGACTGCGATTACCTAAAACTCTATGTCCAACCTCCGTAAACTAAGCACACACAAAAAAGTGCATTCCAGACATTTTTGAATCCTCAGGACCTTCAGTTTACTTGTTCCATGCCTACAAACATAGTTTTCACTCTCCAACTAATGAGTTTCTCACTCTATTTGTTAATGATATCGTTTGTATGCGTGTGATCTATGCCCGGTTGCAGCAATCAGCATGCAAGATCTCACAATGGCCCTGTTCAGTCCGTCCACACAACTGCTAACTGGCGATCCCTCGAAAACACACGTGCTCGCTTGTGCTCTACTCTGTCGGGGTGATATTGCCGTGCACGAGATTAAAAATGCCGTCACAAAATTGAAGCAGAAGGGCCTGGTGCACCTCGTACCGTGGTGTCCAACAGGTTTTAAGGTTAGTCAACTTTCTTTTTTCTTTCCTTCAAAAACGGTTTCACGATTGTTCACTTATCCCCCCCCCCGCCCGCTGAACTGCTCACATGTGTTACACAACCCCCGCATATTGCGTTTTGTATATAATTTCAAAGCCAAAGTTTAAACGTTATATTTCGGGAAGTTCTTACAAACTAAGACGTCTCTTGTCCCCGTAAGATATTTAAACAATTGAATCGGTTCTCAGCAAAAAAATGACAAATATCACATACAATTCAGATTAGCTGATAGCACGTAATGTAATCTTCAATTAATTTGTTTTGTTTTTTATTTGTTTAGAAGTTGGAAGTTGGAAGTTGCCTGGGTTTTATTAAGACTCCGTTTGAAAGATTTAACCGTTGGAGCACAAACGACATGAGATGGAAGGGCATTCTACTTGGTGCATGCTATAATTGCATTCCGGTCGAAACTTTGGAATTAGCAGATTGAAACATTGTCCCGTAAGATTTACGTTGGGCAACGACATGATCGGCGGACGACATGGATGGTTTGGATTCTGCCGTATCGAGTCTCTTCGAATTCGCCGATACTGAACAGAATCTAGTCTCACTAATTGTAGTCTTTACCCGTAGACG